TAATTTCTCATGAACTACTAATTCAAATTAGTTAAAATTTTAATATATTATAGATAAATATTGGTTCTATATATAGTTAAAACTTGAGCTAATTTGAATTATTAGTTATCAAAAAAATAATTGTTAAAGTTTAAATAAAATTTATAATATTTTTGTTATATATCAATAGTAATTTCTAGTGATTATATATAGTAGGAAGGCTATATCTCAATATAAATTTAGAAATTATTATTAATATATAGCCTCTAAAAAAAATTTCCTGATGAAGTAAATTATAATATAATTGAAATTTGTTTAAGATCCTAATTTTTAGTAATTATAATAATGCTTATTTACTATAATCAATTAAAATAAAAATTGTAATCAATGCTTGAGTAGTTCTTTAATGATTTTTATATTATTTATTAAATATTACTATCAAAAAATAAAAAAGTAGAAAATAAAAAATAGTTTAACATAAAAAAAACTACTACTATTCTTTGAACATGATCTAGTGAGATATCAACTTTAACTATTTCAATTATTCTTGTTATAAATTAAATATAGAAAAATATTAACTTAGAATCTACTGAGTTTAGATCTTTATTTATATTGGCTTTTTTTTTTTTTTTTTTTTTTTTTTACTTTATACAAATGTTATCAGCTGAACTTTTATTAATATTGATAGTGAGTAAATGATACATATTGTGAGAGTACAACTAGCTATATGTATAACTTTAGATTGTCTAATTTAAGTACCGTAGATCACTATATACAATACTCCCACAAAATAGTATTCCTCATGATTAAGACCCTGGTATTATTCACTATTCACAATGGTCAAGCTATAGGTAGTATCCTGGGTACTTTTCAAAGTTAGTCCTTATAAAAATTGAATAATACTTAGGTACTAAAAATAATAACAATTTACTATAATATTATTTAAAAAGATAATATGTATGCCTTCTGCGCAAAGTAGACCTAGCGTATATTTTGCATAAAACTTATATAGCTTAAGTCAATGCACTTTATTGTTACTATAATTTGCCATGATTAAATAAATTATTTGTTTTAAACTAAGGCCATTTAAATTTAAAGATTCATTTAATATTTTTTTTTTTCATATTTTCTTGAAGAGAGGAGGGAGAAAATTAAACAATAAAATTAAACAGACCCAAATTTAGGTCTAAATTAGGTTCAAATTGTATCTGATTTAGGTTCATTTATATCTGGGGTTTTTTTTTTTTGATTTATTTATATTTTTATACTTGTTTTCTATTGGCTTGTTTAATGTCAGAGTGGAGCTCCAGTAGTAGAGAGGGGGAAGAAACGTTAAACGAATTTTTAAATTCAAATGGCCTAAGTTAGAAAGAAATTGAATTTTGTATTTTAAATTTTAAGTGATTTGCAAACCCAGATTTTAATTTTAATTTTTTTGAAAAAGTTCACCCAGAAATATAATAGAGTATTATAAACTTTATTTTCAATATTTACAAAATAAGCTTGGCCAGATTATAAAAACAGAAATTAACTTCGCTAAGCTTAATGTAGTAAAATTATATATTGAGAGCTTTACAATTACTAAAATTTTTGAATTGATACGCCTAAATTGATTTTTTTTTTTTTTATATATTTTTTGTTAATATTCAACTTTTTAGTAGATCCTCCAAATTTTTTTTGTTATCTGATTTGCTAGATAACCACTTTTAATCTATGTTTTGTAGTTAATTAATTCCAAATATTAACGTAATTTTCTTCTTCACTTTTATAGTGTTCACAATACTCATGTTTATGATCATTTTCATCATTTTCATCTTCTACGCTTTCTGGACTTAATTCATTACTTTCTTCCTCTTCTTCGATACCAATCCTTCCTTTTTCATCTGAGACTTTCCCAAAATCAAAAATTGAACTATCTTCAGAGCTATCCATTTCAGGAGAAATTCCATAACATTTAAAAGATTATTGTACTATAGCAGAATCAATATTATCCTATGCTTTCTTAATCTATTTTGTCACTACTAAGTATGATGGATGTTTAATTTTACCCATTAGTGTGTATTCCTTAATAGCTTTATCCATCCACTGGTTGTAAGCATGGCAGACCTATTAATAAAATAAGTAGTTTTTTAATTTTACGCTATTGTGATTATGCAGTTAACATATATATATAAGCAAAAAAAATTTTAATACCTGATCTTGAATTTGATCAGATGGAGTGTGTCATGACTAGTAATAAGAAAAAAGTATGATATCATATATGTTTATACC